TTATATTTTTTAATTAGAAACTACCATTATATATGTAAATAAAGCATGTATTATTTTTTCAATCTTATATATATATTTGTTGTATGATATTTTCATTTTCAGTTCGATTGTGAAGGTATATTTTCTACATGTAGAAACGAATATTTACAGAGTGTACGTGATAGTTTAAGTTTGAGGGCAAATTTTTCAATTTTTTGCATTAATGTTATGAAACCTTCTAAGCTTTGTGGAACAGTTAATGAATGTTTTCAGGCTAGTGATTACTGTAAAGATCTTGGTGTGTATTTAAATTACATAGATAAGAAGGCTCAGAATAAAGAAAAAAGTTGTTTATATTTTTTTTACAAATTAAAAGATTTTGTGAAAAATTTTAATGGAAAATGCAACACAACTGCAGATTGCTATAATATAATAACTACAAAACCTAATGTATTATCAGGGTTGGGGGCATATATAAGATACGATGCAATGCTTTCTAATACCTGTAAAGATTATGCATCAGAAAATAATATAGATAATAATACATTTCAAGTTATAAATGATTTGGAAGACCTACATAATAAATTTAATGCTTTAATAGGTATTAATAGTGAATATAATGAAAATTCTTGTAGTACATATAATGATTGTATGTCCATATACGATAAGCTTTTAAAAATAAACACAGCTTCACAAAATCCAAGTTTAAAATCAGAATTGAGTAAATTTAAAGATGATCTTGATGATTATCTGAAAAAAAATTATCCTTGTGAATATATGAGATATATGTATATACTGAAGGAAAATTTTGAATATTTAAAGAGTATTCAGAATAAACCTAATAAGAGTTCATGTGATGCTGATAGGGAATGCATGATCATGTATAATAAACTTTTAGAAATAGAACCAAAATCATATAACCAGAGTTTAGGTACACAATTAAATGAATTTATAACTCAATATAATAAATATATGAAAACAAATCCTGCGTGCGAAGCTCCGGAAAATTTGTTATATTCATCTTCTCGATTAAGTGTTGGAATGGGTGTATCAATGTTTCTAATAATAATAATTTTATTTGTTTTGTATAAGGTTGAAAAAAAATTAAATTTATTATAAGCGTATTACATTGGAATTATTATTTCGTGTTATTCTGAAAAAATTACATAATGTAAATGATGTAATATAAAAATGTTTTGTTCTTATTCTTTAACAGCACACTATTCTAGGTTCATTTTTTAAAATCCAAATAAAAAAGGCTAGGGAAATATTAAGGAAAAATAAAAATGACCATTGGAAATTAATTCATTCATTTAATAACACAAACAATGATTCAAATTATTATAATTATGGAATAGCTTATTCATCACAAGATTATTAATAAACATAAAATATCTATATATATGAATTTAATACACATGCTTAAGATATAAAAGAAGTTATAAAAGTGATTATGCATAGATAGTAGAGATTAATTAATAGAAGAAATATATTTTTAAAATAACAACATTATTATAAATAATTCTTAAGAAATTTATCAATTTAACTAATAAGAGTAGTATATATTATGAAACACTCAGCGGTAATGAAATGTAATTGTAACTACTGTAATAAGTCAAAAAAATTATTAATCCACAAATACACATTAAGAATTATATTATGTCAAAATCATGAAAGTGGGTATAGAAACAGTTATATATTAATTTTAACAATGCTTATAATGTTTTCTATTAAAATAAAACTGATATTCCTTATTTTTAATTAAATTATAAAATAAAATTGTATTGATTCATAGTTTCAGGGATTATGGTTTAGGATTCTATTTTTAGTTTTATGATTTTATAATAATATTTTTTTTTTAGGATATTTTCTAATTCTTTGGAATTTATATTTTAGGACTTAGTGTATGAATTATAATATTTTTTTTTTATATTTTTATTACACTTATTTAAATATATATATTTTATTAAATTTTATTACAATGATATATATACCGGCATATGTTTTTTTTACGATTTATGAGTTTTTATATATTTTATATTATTTATGTTAATTATAAGGAGAATAATTATTATAATATTTTATTTCATATTGAATAGAAAATATCCTTTCCTTTATATATATCCTGTGGTATTACTTTTTTCATTGTTAGGAAAATGTGTTCGATGAATGGTATGTTATTATTGTCTTATAGTAAAAATACACTATTTTACAAATAGAAATTTGGTTATACATTATTTTACACAATTTATATTTATCATTTCATAATTGTAT